TGCTGTGCAGGTGACTGAGCACCTTCCCTGACTGTTCAAGGTGCAGAAGTGCTTCGACCTGTGCTTCTTTCAGGTGGCTTTTTGCCTTCCTCTATTTAATAAACTATATTATCATGAACACTCTATTCAGGGCTTTGAAATCAAATAAGCTCCACTCTTAAATCTTTCTGCAGTTTTTCAGGGCTGGCTGAGCCTCGAGAGATAGCAGCATTCACAGAACCCACATGGCTTGACAGAGCCACTGTTCAGTGTTTTGGAAATGTATCTTTTGACTGTTGGGAAGGAAATTGGCTACTTAAGATGCCTTTTTGTACATTTAAATTAACTTAGTCCATCAGACTGAATAAATCCTGCCGCTGTATTAACATCCAATTATAACAACAGAGATGGAGCAATGATTCAGGTTTTGACCAGAATGTTGGCAGTTTAAGGGGAAAAAGAAGCAATGTATATTGAAATAAAAAAGTCAAAAATGGGAGCCAGAAAATTATGACTGAGCACATAGCAGGAGCTTTTGTGAATGTATAATGGCAGAAGCAGGAGCCAAATTTCTAACAGGATTATCTGTTACTGTCTACCAGATCCAAAAAAACTCAATCATTTTGTTTTAAATGACTTTTTGTAACTCATTCATACTAGAAATAGGGAGGGGAAGGGAGGCTGGGAGCTGGAGAATCTGCAGTTTGGAATTTAGGCAGGATCAGAGGTGAGGGTGAAACACCCTGAAGGAGCAGTTGAGCTCTGAACCATTCAGCACTTTGCAGATTTCGCCAGATTTTTAAGATTTCCTTGTGAGCCAGAAACTCGTGGATGATTTCTTTTGGGGACCAGTAAATGAATGTGTTGATGAGGTGAAACAGCTCTTCAAATCCTGCTGCAGCCATGGCAGCTGGGCCTGCTAGTTGTTCCCTTTCTGCCCTTGAGAAGGACGCGAGATTCACCTTCCCCTTGTCCAGCCCTGGCTCTGGGATTGCATCTCACTCTGGGTCAGAGATCATCTGTCCCTCTGCTCAGCTATGGACAGATCTTTGGAAGCACAGCAGCTCCTGGATGTCCACCAGGTGTGTGCACAGGCATTTTAAAGGACCTTACCTTCATATCTTCAATATTCCAATAAACTCAGAGCCTAAATATGTTGTATTTAATGACCTGGTGCTCACTGAGCAGGTGTTACCTGAACTTCCTCCCCAAACTTGCTCAGATGCCATTAACCCACACCTTCAGAGACATTGAGACAGCTCCTTCTTCTGCTGCTGAGACCTCCCTTTCTGCTTCAGCTCTCCTTGATAAAATGGGGAGATATGGGGACAGAATCAGAGAATATCCTGAGTTGGAAGGGAGTCGTGAGGATCATCCAGTCCAGCTCCTGGCCCTGCACAGGCACCCCAACAGTCCCACCCTGTGCACCCCTGAGAGCATTGTCCAAATGTTTCTGAAGCTCTGGGAGCCTTGGGAATGTGACCATTCCCTGGGCAGCCTGTTCAGTGCCCACCACCCTCTGGGGAGGAACCTTTTCCTGATATCATATATTTTCCTGATATATGGGATATAAGCCCTGAGAACAACAGCAGTCTGTTCTTACATCCATATATTGCTCTGGCACAGTGAAGCTAAAAATATCAGTGAAGCTGTGACCACTGCAGGAATATAAATTAAATATAAATTCCTTCAAACTGGCTCCTAATGCCCCAAAATGAAGGACACTTTCCTTTTCTAGTCCTGCTGAATCCCTGGTTATATCTGGACAGCACTCTCAGACACGTGGTGGATTCTTGGAGTCGCCCTGTGCAGGGCTAAGGATTGAACTTCAATGATCCTTGTGGGTCCCCTCCAGCTCAGGACATTCCAGGATTCTGTGATATTTGCCACAAAATGTTGAATCCAGGTCTCACTACCATGAAGAACCAGGGGTAGGGACCATCACCAAGGTTGGAAAATGGCCTTGAAGAGTTTGTCAGGCTTTCCAAGGATGGAGAAGGGGTGGAAGGAGTAACCACAGCCCGGTTTGCCATGGAGATTTCCACCTCCAGCATTGCCTGGTCCCTTCATCCAAGTGAATGATGGCAAGGCTCTGTAGCTGGGAGGCTGCATGGACTTCCCTTTTGCTGATATTTTAGTGGCAGCACAAAAAGCTGGCTGTTCCCTGGAGGGACACAGTCAGCTCTCAAACCCTTCAACGTGGAAAGCTGAGCTGAATTAATTACAGTTTATGCTCCAAAAAGGAAAATAAGACCTCTGATGTGTCTTATTTGCTTGATGTTCTTCCTCTTTTCAGCAGATGACCCTCAGGTGGCATTTCTTTCAGTTGTAGCTCCTTTGTTTTGGTTTTTTTTTTTGTGGTTTCTTTCTGCAGTAATTGGAAGGTCTGACACTTCCAGCCCAAGACATTTATCAGCATGGTACAGTTTTAATTAATCTCACAATAAAGCTGCTAGAGGTGAACTCGTGAAAGGACTTTTAGGGCAGGAATAATGCACACGGTGACACGGGACACACTCTGGTGGGATTGACGGGATTTGGGATGCAGGAAGCTCGTGGCACATCCCTGTGGGCTCTGCAGCACAAGCCAGGTGTGCTCCTGAAAACAACATATATCCCACAAAATGTACCCAAACACACTGAAAAGAAAACATTTCTGCAAAGATGAATATCTGGGTTCCCAGTAGGTTCCTCCTGCCACTGGGACAGGCTTGGATATCCTTTGAAGGCTAATTAACTAATAAGAATAAAACATACAGAGCACCTTTTATCTACTCTTTCTATAGCAATTTGCCAAGAAATGGCAAATTTCAGTCCTCTAGGACATCTTTCTTGTACCTATATCACAGCCACAAGTGGATTTTGACTCTGAACATTCAAGCCAGGATCACCAGGTGTTGGAAAAGTTCATTTTCTGATCTAAACTTCTCAACCAAAACTCACTTCTATCAGGCAGGTGCAAACTGGCTCAGAAGTGAGGCTGGATGGAACTATCTAGAGCTAATGAGGATAAATCAAGCAGCACCATATGTCAAACTGAGGGTGGTTTGGGTGGGAACTGCAGAGCCAAACTCAACTGTGCTCACAAGATTCTAATTACCAGGTGAGAATTGCATCTGGATTGAGAAACGGCAGATTTAGAGTCTTCCAAAACTAAATTTTCTGCTCCTTCTTCAAGTCCTCTGGTGGCCACAGTGTAGCCATGGCCAAGCTTGATGTGATCGAGATAAAATAACTCACAGTATTTTTTCCTCTGGTGGAAATAAGAGGTGGGAATGGCTGACATAATAAAATATAATGTCTCCACCTTCTTGTAAAAAAATTTATGTGTTTTTGGAATTTGGATTCAACACAGACTATTGGCTTCAACAAGTTTAATTGAGTGAAATTCTGAGACATAAAATTTATTCTTCATGAATAGGTGGTACCTGCTTGATGAGAAGCTTAAGGAAGGTGGAACAACCTCATTCATGGCCAAGCAATCGTAATTTTTAAACTTCTTGAAAGAATCATAGAATCTTGGAAAAGACCTTTAAGATCATCAAATCCAACCATTAATTCACTGCTGCCAAGGCTGCCTTAATTAGAGAGGTCTGAATGACTCCTCCTTTGTCTTGTTCTTATAACTTTTATTGCTCTGTGGTCTGTTCTGATTATGTTTTTATGCTCAAGTCAATAGATTCAGCTGAGAAAAGTGAGTTTGTGCTGGTTTTTCTTTGAGGTTTTTTTCCCCCTTTTCTCACTTTTTCCTTAAAGGCTTTCAGTAGCTGCAGTTGGTTCCTCTGGGTGATTTGGCACAGACAGTGGTGCAATGGTAAATAAAACCCATCCTGTTCCTACCTGAAGTTTTCTAAAGCTTCTGCCACTTGCCAGAGGCAAAACTGCACATCTCCAGCTTTTGCTTATAGACTATCAACTGGGATTTGTGGGTAGGGTGAGAAAAACAATTTCTGATACAGCCAGAAAAGGTCTTCATACAGAGCTGGAATTTTGCCTGATATATATTTATATTAAAACTTAAAAATGAAAAAAAAAAAAAAAAAAAGCCAGTTCTTGGTTCATTTACAGACACAACCAAGATGGATCTTAGTCTGTCACTTCACAGCTCAAGCTCTCCTGAATGCTGCGCCAAGTAAAAAATCATCCCTGAGATCCAGGTGTATTCCCTCGTCATTTGTCAGGAGTAACTGTTCTGCAGTTTAGAGCTGGCAGTTCTCAGCGGTGTTTCATCAGGATAATTCCACACTCTGTCATCTGAGGGAATAAACTCTCCCTGCTGACAGGAACTGGGGTGAAGACACCAGCAATTGACTGGATATTACAGAGGCTCTCTGAAGCTTATTCAGTGGAAAAGGGACTATCAGGTCACTGGGCCCAAATTGTGTGTTTGGCTTCAAAAGCTGCGAGGGGCTTACAAAACCTAAGAGGAATCAAAAGCACTGGTCTGTGAGACAGGAGGTCAGGCTGGGCAGTCCCTTCAACCCTTGAAACCTCTCACTGAAATGCTTTAATTAAAAAGGAAAAATAAAAGAAAAATAGATGATAAAATGCGGTATTTTGGCAGTACATGGGTGTTTCAGGTCCCACTCTAATGCCTTCTGAGCTGCTAAAGCAGGGCTACAGCAAGAAAATATCCAGCCTCGTAGCCTTTGTCCTTTTTCCTGCTGGGAGCAACCTCTCCAGGGATGGGACAAGTGGTGGTTGGAAAGATGCACAGGCAATGGGGAGTGGAGTTAACGCTTTCCTGGGACCAGCAGTGGTGGTGGCAGTGGGGACTGGTGGTGGCAGGAGGTCACGGGAGGGAGACAAAGACACCACAAGACCTCAGCTCTCACAGGAAGCCAGAAAGCAACAGAGTCCAAAACCAGAGAGATCAATGAGATCCAGGGAGTTTAACCTGCTGCAGATCTCCTGTTGTCCAATTGAAATTAATTGATTTAATTTCAAGGTACCACATCCCCACAGCCTGCCTGATTTGCTGATTGCTGGGAAATCCTGCAAGCTAAGTAATTTGGCAACGGATGGAGGGCTACAGGGTGAGGAAAAGACCACAGGAGACGTGGACCAGGATGTGGGCAGGGACTGCAGCATCCCCATCCCTCTGCCTGCCCCACGCCTGCCCAGCGCTGCACGGATCTTCCTGTGGGAGCACAGGCACCAGGGCAAGGGGACAGAGCGGGTGGCACCTTCACCAAGCTGTTCTGAGCCGTGTGAGAAGCCTGACAGGTTGTCCCCTTTCCTCCTGCAGCTCACCAGGGTGCCCGTGGAGTCGTGCAGCCAGTACGAGACCTGCAGCGAGTGCCTGGGCTCGGGGGACCCCCACTGCGGATGGTGTGTGCTTCACAACACGTGAGTACCTGCTGGGCTCTGCCACCACCCCAGCCCTGCCTGCCCCCCTCACCTGCCTCCTGATAACACAGCTAGAGGGGGGAAATGCTGTCTCAGCCCCTGGCTGAGCCTGTACCTCCAAAAAGTTCTCTGGGACTTGCTGGGGAGAGACTTTGCTTAATTATGAAGGGCTTTTTTGGAAGATGAGGGGAAAGAAGGGTTTTAGAGGCTAGACAGAACTTCTCCACAGCTTGGTCTACAGTTTGCTGACTGCACTGGCAAAGCAGCCCGGTGTTTTTTGAATTCAACACTCCAGCAGCTCTTCTCTGGGTCACATTTTCCTGGTGGTTTCCATTCCATTCAAGGGAATTTGCCTCTGACCATTCGCCCTTGTCTCAGCACCTCCAGCTTTCCACTGCTGACCTGAACCTCTCCTCTTTCAGACTCATTGTGATCTCCATCACCCTTAGAGATGAGGAATCAGATCCCAGTAAACAACATGGGATCCACTCCAAGGCAGTTTTCATTGGGACTTTATGGCTTAACAGGCCAAGCAAGGCCTCATTCCACCCTTCCATTATTTTGTTGTACTGGTTTATCCACTGCCTCACAAGGAGAACTGGATCCAGGCGTCCTCAGTATTGGGATATCAGTTCATTGGCGTGTTTTTCCTCAGGCTTTTTGACAATGCTGTTGGTCTTGAAGCTGCCTCTCTGCAGCCTTTCCCTGAGTGATCTCCTCCTGCAGAGAACCCTCTGCCAAAGCCATGGAGAGGGAGGTGTTGGCTTGGCTGGGCTCCTGGCTCTGAGTGACAGGGAGGTCTGGTTTGCCCAGCCCCTCTCAGCAGAGACAGGGGCTGGGAAGTGCAGTGGACCTGTCTAACCCAAGGCTCCAGCTGAGAGTGGCTCTGCAGGGTGTTGTCACTCCAAGCCTCACGGTGTCCTTGGCAGCCTTGGAGGGTTTTTCTGATGGGCCCTGCTCTTGCCGTGTGTTGGTCTTTTCCCTCTGAGTTCACCTGAATTCTTCCTGTTGAGTTGCAAACTCTCCAGGTGGAGACAGGGATCCAGTTGAAGTGATAGACTTTGCTACTTCTCCTTGTGGAACAGAAGGGAACAAACCTGGACCATATTCCAACCTTCTGTTGATGCTCTGAATGCTCTGCTCCTGTCAGCTTGTGTGACCCTCATCCAAAACCACAGCAGTCTGCTTAATTTCAAATCAGATCTGGGGGATCCGTCCCAAAACACGTCCAAAAATGTGGCTCGTGCTCTGGAATTGTTCAAGAGAACCTTGGCAAACCAGTCCTGAATTGTGGGTAAGAGCCCAGAAAATTTTCATCCTGCTGACCTGAGGATATTTCCTTTTGATACAGAGCTTTGTAGTGTGTTCCCATGCCATTTCAGCCTGTATCCATCCTCCAGGACACCGTGTGTTTGCTGCCAGAGAGGGGACAGCACAGATATGTGCAAGCAGCACAGAAAGGCACGAATTTGTTCATTGATTGTACCACAGCAGTGCTGGATATTTCATCTCCTTGCATCCAGGGTCAGTGGCAACAAACAAATCAAAACATGCAGCAATAAATCCCCAAAAGGAGAGAGAAGGGGCACAGGCACCTGCAGAGTGTGCAGCAGCTCATCCTGAGCAGTACTGGGAATGAAATGGAGGGTGATGGGTGGGGCTGTCAGATTCAACTTGGTTAAAAAAAAATCCCTGTACAGGCTCGATTCTTGAGGGAGAAGTGTGGCTGGAGTCTGGACCTGGCTGTCCCTGTGCCCTCCTCCCTCTGGCCACTTAACCTCTGGTTCCTTATCTGGAGAAGAGAAACACCTCTTATTTATGTGCCTTTCAGCAGGGTCACTGAGATTGATTCCCTGGGGGGTTTTTTTGAAGCATTTTGAAAGCAAATGTTATCAAATCCTACTTCAAGTCTGTTGCTCCCCTCTAGTTTTTCTCACGGTGAAGAAATCTGATTTTCAGTCCTAGTTTGGGAGGGGTTTTCAGTGCAGCCTCAGGTGTTCCTTTTGGAGTCTCAGTTTCCTCATCCTTTTGGGCAGCCCTGAGAGCAAAGGAGCCAATTACATCCCACTCAGAAAGTTTTGGCTGCACAGGATGTTCAGGGTAAGGACACTGGAATACTGAGTCTCTAATTAGAAATTTGTGCACATCAGAACCCCTCAAGACTCATTAACAGACTTTCCTCAACTGGAATACGCCTTCAACAGCTCCTGCACGAGGGTCCCTGGGGAAAAATGCCATAAACATTTCCCCTCCTGGCTCCTAACCCTTCCTTCCTCCCTCCCAGTCAGGAATCCCAGGGGATTCCCAGTGCAGGGCTGAATCCAGTGATGTGGAAGGTGTGGAGGAAGCAGCTGGGCTGTGCAAGAGCTGGGGTAGAATGGGGCTGGGAGGCAGATTTGTGGGCAAAGCCACGCTGTTCCCTTCTCCTCCTCCAGTAAAAACCGTCAAGAGGAGCAGTAGTGAGCTGGGGGACAGGAGAAAACTGCCCAAAGGGTCACAGCACTGTATTTTTGTCTCTCCCATTTTGGGATTTTTCCTACAAGGGCTGATGCAGCTCCTCTTCCCCAGACCCCCATTTCCAGCCATCCTCAGCTCCCACCACCTGAGAGCTCCAGAGACAGCTCCCATCCGTCTTTTCCCAGCTGAGCTGGGCTGTCTGGGCCGAGGGCGGCGTGCCAGGGCTCGGGAATCGATTTCCACAGCTCTGCTGTCCTAACCTTACACTGAGAAACTCGAGTCCTCTGGGAGAGACAGACAGACCCACAGACGGCTGCAGGAGAGAGGGGGGAGGATGGATTGGCTTCTGTCCCGAGGAGAGGAGCTGATACAGAGCAGGTCACTGGAGCTTTTCATCTCCGTATCTTTACCCCGATCTTGTCCTCCCTCCCTTTCCCAGCTCTGCTCCCTCCCGGGCTCTGCTCAGGCCTCTTTAGGCAGCGATGAATCATTTACTCAGTGTAAATTGAAAATGTGGCTCTGGTGGCTGCAGGGGTCTCTGGGGGAGGGAGAGGGGCAGGGATGGAGCAGTGGGGACGGACCAGCCTGCAGAGCTGGCACTCGGTGCCTGCTGCAAGGTCACAGCAATGTCACCAGCCCGGACAGGGGCTGCAGAGAGGGCTGAGAGCAAAGAGAAGTTTCCTGCAACCCTGAAATGAATTCAGCAGCTTCCTCCTGTGTCAGATGCAGTGCTGTCCAAGGATAACACCCAAATCTGACCACTCTTCTAATCCCCTGGCAAGTTACTCCTGTCTCAGCCATATCCAAAATGTAACCTCCCCTTCTTCCTTCTTTCCCAGCTTCAGCTACTGAAAAACCCCTCCTTAAATCTAGATTGGATATTTGGAAGAAATTCTTCCATGTGAGGGTCAGGAGGCCCTGGCACAGGGTGCCCAGAGCAGCTGTGGCTGCCCCTGGATCCCTGGAAGTGTCCAAAGCCAGGCTGGACTGGGCTTGGAGCAGCCTGGGACAGAGGAAGGTGTCCCTGCCCATGGCTGGGGTGGAATAGATGATTTTGAGGGTCCCTTCCAACCCAAACCATTCTATTATTCTATGTAAGTTCACTGGTGCATCTGCATGTGGTCACCATGCAGATTTTCAGCCCTGCACAGCACCCCTGGGTTGTCTTTAACACCCCAGCTGCCATAAGAATGGAAATTTGGTGCAGAAAAGCAGCGTCCCTATAGAGAAGAGCAACATTTTATTGCAGGGACATCCCCTGCTGGGTGCAAAGAGACCTGTCCCAGGCTCTGCTGCGCTAGTGACACTCCTAGATTTTGGCTTTGCTGCCTCATTTCATCCCATGCAACATCCATCTAACTCCAAGAGGAATAGCTGAACACACACAAGCTGTCCTTAAGGAGGATGCACCCCCAGGCACCAGCCTCCTTCTGCTCTGGAATCTGCCCTTGCAGGCCTGGGGACTCCTTGGCTGGCAGGTCATTAATTGCAATCAGAGAGGGAAACAGTCCCATTTTCTGGGAGAACTTGTGATATTTCAAAACTTTTTTTTTTCCTCCAGCTCGCAGTGGCCAATTATTTTTTTAATAAGAAATGTTCTTGAAAGCTGTTCTGGAAGGGACTGATTCCATTTAGTAATTGGAGAATGATTCATTTAGACTTTGGAAGTCCTCGTTTTGGGGTTTGATTTCAGTTTTTAGCAAATTGCTTGAGATTTCAAAATAAAAAGTCATTCTGAAAGGAAGCATTAATTTTTTTATTTTTATTTTTCCATTAGAATGAAACATTTGAGCATCTGTGATTTCTTTCTCCCCCAGAAGTCTTTACCAGCCCTAGAGACTGAGCAAAGCAGTCAACAAGCGCTGTTGGTTTAGAGGAACTGACATTTGCTGCAGAGGGAAGAGGGATTGTTTAAGCATCTCCAGTCTGTCCTGCTTGGAGATATCGGAGCCAGGAGCTGGCTCTGCTCCCTGCACTCCTCTGCTCAGCTCTGAGGAGCTGCTTGTGTCCTCTGTGTGTCCTTCTGGCACCCAGAGCCTCCCCAGGGCACCCGAGCTGGCTCTGTTGGCTTTGCAGAGCACATGCCAGCAGATCCCGCTGCTCCTGAACCTTGGGAATAGGATCCAGTGGCCTCCTGAAGGCATCCTCACCCTATGGAAGAAGCAGTGACAAAAGACTCTCATTTCTGGGCCACAGCAGTCACCTTTCCTGGATCCCTTTGGCTCTGGGTAGGTCAGGGGATGCCCAAAATCTCCCACGTGGAATTCCTCAGGTGGAGCTGGTCTGGATTAACTGGATCCCTGCTGTTATGAGACACCTCTGAAGCCATAGGAGAATTTTTTGGTTTCCCAGCAAAAAAACCAGCCCCGTTCAGAGGGGACTGATGCCATTCTCTGGCAGCAGACACCCACCCCACTGTCTGAGGAGTGACCCTCCACATCCTCCTGCTCTCCACCTCCTCCCACTTGTGTGGACAACTCACACACTCCAAAACTACAGCTCTCCTTTCCAACATGGTATGAAGG